ACTTTGGTAAAAAATATTTATCTCCGAGAAGAAAAAGGGGAGGGGGCAACTAGAATATCTTTACTCATCATGGTTAAGTGCCTAAGCATGAAAAATATTCTTAGATACATTTTTATACAGACAATTTGATAAGATACTATTTTATTGCTTGCGTCTCTATGTTATGTGATAGTTTACCAATATGGATCAGAACGTTATCCCATTTTAAATAATTAAATAATATTATTTAAATTGACATTGTATAGTAGGTACCTATGCTTACATATAGGTAAATAAAAAAATTGGCCAGTCATAAAAAATGCAGGGGCAGTTTTTTCAGGTTTTTACCCGCTTCGCGATATAAGGTTTAGACGCGCGATTTAAACTGTATTTATTATTTGTCAAAATATAGCAAAAAATAGCCAAAAATAACCATATCCTTTTAAAGCAAAAACAAGACAGTTTTCTTTTAAAAAAATATAAAAAGGAAACTGTATAGTTAAAAAAATAAAATGATAAACACATAATTCTTTAGACAAATCCTTAACATAGTTATAAATGAGTAAGCATTCATTTCAAAATTTTATTTTTATTCTTTTGTAAGTCATATAAAAACAGTATCGATACAAAATATTAACGTTACAAATTACGTTGTAATATTGTATCCCTAATTATCCTTCCTTTTATTTTTTCTACAAACAAAACAACGAGCATCACTCGCGCATGTCACCAGAACGTGTTAATTTGACAGCTACTGACAGGCGCCATATTGAATTTTACTGCTTTATTTTATTTCCCGCCTTATTTCTTTCAAACAATAGCCATCTTTTTTTTTAAAAGTGCTAATATTTGAGTGACAGCTTTTCCAATGATATTTTTAGTTTATTTTAACGAAAATGTATTGTAGTTACTATTCACAACTGTAAAACAAAAACAAAATCTACTTATAAGTCCTCGGTCGGCTTAGGTAATTAACTAAAGGTAAACAATCTTGGCACAACTTTTATAATTATGGAAAATATGTAAATTTACATTTTAACATTTCTTTTGTGGTCTTTCTTAGCAAAATCCTATATTATCTCAATACCTAAGGTGGACTAGAAGAAAATACCATAATTATGGCATTAAGTCCAGCTTACGAAGGTAAAAGTTTTTCATCAAAGTTTAAGTAATACATAAATCCATTCGTAAACTAACTTTAAGTGACTAGCTAGTAAGTTTAATACTGCTTTGCCATCATTGTTTTTATTTATATTCATATTTTTTTTATTAAAGCTTTGCAAAGCTTACGTTTATAAAATCCCTTAAACAGATTGATTTAAAATAATATTACGCTCCCATTATGAATACCGTATATACCTAATCCTGACACTGAAGCAAGAAACTGAATTATCAGTACCTAACTTAAGTAATTTTTCTTTCCATATATTAAGCTTTTACGGACCATAAAACCATTGTCTATCCAGAAAAACAAAAAAGACGCAAAAAAATATACATTCACAACTTACCCGAACAACGCAAATCTAGGTCCCGGTAACTAGGTCTCAAATAATTGCACTAACAACTACAATAGTTACAGGAGCACTAACGAAACGTCTTACACTTCACACAAAACATGGCGCTATGTCGAATATATTCGCTAAACTAAAAATAAAGATGGTCTATAATGAAAATTCGTAAACGCTCGGAGTAATTGTGAGTATTAAACCTATCAGATATCTAGTTTCGATCATTTTTATAAGAGATTTCTTTTTGGCAAACTGACTATTAGATGAAAGAAAAATGTTTATGTCTGTTCTTTTTTTTTCGAAGCTGGAACGTCTTCAGATTACTTCTTTAAATGAGATCCGAGCTCAGAGTCTTACAGACTAAAAACTATCCTGTGCCTACTCCTTCTCCGGTGGGGAGGGAGGGGCGGTACATTATTGCGTTGGCACCTATAAACTCCTGACAAAGAGTTTCTGTAGGTTATTTTGTGTATGGAATTTTTTCATGGTATGGGTCGGCAAATCAGCCGACAGATTATCTGATGGTAAGCATTCAGCGCCGCCCATGGACACGTGCAACATCAAAGGAGGTACGAGTGCGTTGCCGGTCTTCCGGTTTTCCGATATTTAAGGATTGGGATGGGGAGGGATTGGGTCTCCGGTAACGTCTCTCACACGGCGAAACAAAGCTTTGGTTGTTTCACGCCGGTTTTCTATAAGGCCGTGGTATCACACCGGTCGAGACGACCCAATCGTGCCGAATCTCACACCAGCTCACTCACTCTTAAGTATATGTAGGTATTGGACAATCTATTATATTAATATATTACAAAATCTATTATAAATTGTCACCCTTTCATTCCATAAGAATTATACTGTCTACAAATAGATTTCCTGAAAACTACTTATGCAAAAGTTGTCATTTTAGAGTATATTGTTTCTCTACAGACTGACACATAAGGGGAGTTATTTCTAGCACACTTTTATGAGGGCGACATCAAACGAAATATGTAGTACCTAATAAAATCTAAGAATTTTAATTATACACGCTTAAGTCTCATTTACGGAAATATGGCGCGTTGAGCGACGCGTTTTGCGCTCGACATAAATTATTCATGTTTCGGTTAACTACATATTTTTTAATAGTAACTATCGTGAGACATACTAAATTTATTAACAACTAGCTACTCTCGCGCGGTTTTGACCCGCTGCTCAGCTCCATTTGATCGTAGCGTGATGATTTATAGCCTATAGAACTCAGGAACATTGTAGCTATCTATCAGTGAAAGAATTTTGGCAATCCGACTAGTGGTTCCAAAGATTACCCCCTACATACAAACTTACAAATTTTACCTCTTTATAATATTATAGTATGATTCGGGTCGGGATGGGTGCCGTAACAGGCGTTGCACCGTAGGGATTCCTGAGTTGGTCTACTAAGAAGACTAGGTGTCTCTTACAGGTGTTGATAGTGGCCACCAGGGAGGTTTTAGTAAGGTAAAAAATCCACGATCCCTAGTCTTATCCCCAAAAGCTCGATACTCGAAAAGATAGAATCTTATCATCTGTCTACTCTAAAAAGAAATGCGTAATAAATAAAGCTAGCGATGTGTAACCATATAATAAATGCTATAAACAATAATTCAAAAAACATTTTGAAATACTTATACGCCAATAAATTAAAAAGAAGAAATGTGTTCGGTCGCCCGGTTAATTGAACATGTCGACAAGAGAGATGTAATTGACTACAGATGATTGTACTCGTATTAAATATTCTGAATTTCAGCCAATTTTCTATGTAATTGTTTCAAATAAATCATCAGAAGCGATTCGGTGATCCCGCTAAATAAAAAAAATTTAACATTTTTTTTCGGCCGGCAAAAAACAACGTTCATGGACACCCGCAACTACTGAGGAGGAACGAGTGCATTGCCAACCTTTTGCGGACAAGGGATTTGGAGATTTTGGGATCGAGGAGGATTGGGCTTCCGGCAACCTCACTCACAGGGTGAAACATAACGCTGGTTATATATATCACGCCGGTTTCTGTGAGCCCGTGGTATCACTCCTGTCGAGCCGACCCATTCGTGCCGAAGCTTGGCTCTTCCACACTAAAATTTTCATTGTTGAAGACTAGGTAAGTATTTTAAAATTTCAAAAGCAAAACCAGTTTTCAACGAAAGTCAGTAATTTATAAAATTGCAAAGAAAACATTCTTTTAAAACTTCAAAGGTAATTTTCATAATTTTAAAGTAACTCCATATACCTATGTTAAATGTTTTCATGATGACAAGGAACAATGTTGAAAGTTAATTAGCAAATACATGATTACTGAGTCAAAACAATTATTAGTTTTAAAGCGAAGACTAAATGGAGAAAGCTATGTTCTTATATGGAGTTTTGTTTTTGGACACTTGCCACAATGGGGTTACGAGGAGTTAAGATTGCGTTGCTGCTCTTTTGGGAATTAGATTTGAAGATTTAAGGATTGGGGTGTGGAAGGATGTGGCCTTCGAAACATACACAATGCTAGTGGTTACTTCACACTGGTTTTCTGTGAGGCCGTCGTATTTACTCCGGTCGAGCCGACTGATTCGTATCCATCGAAGCTTAGTTCTTAAAACCCATTATTAACTTTCAATTCCATCATCAAACCAGTTCAATAGTATCATAGTTTTGTATGGCCATCTAACCTACAAAAAATATGGCAAGTTTTTTGCATTAACAATAAATAAACGTGCGTTATTGAGATACATTGACTTAATCACATACTTCTTTAGCAATCGACCTGATAAAAGCTTAAAAAATACTTTTACAACCAAAACGTCTAAAGAAACCGCAGCTACGTCATATAGTCTAAAAAAAAGTCAAAAATCATTTATTTCAATTAGACCACAATAGGCACTTTTGAACGTCAAGCAAGCAAAAAGGAAAAAAGTATATAACAAGACCTTTAAAATTAAGCGTGTCAGTCTGTCCGTCTGTCCTCTAGTGAAGCTATTTGCTCGTTCCAAAGTGTAGATTCCTATGGAGAAGAACGAGCAAGAAACTCCATGGTTACTCTTTTTCAATCAGTGTTACAATACATTTCTTTGTTACATCATTTAGTCGGTTCTGATATGTGAGAACAATGTAAAACTAATGTTCAGGCAAAAAGTACGAAAAAGAAGTGAACCTCTCTCGTCTAGACCTTAAATACCGCTTCTCAATATTGCACAAAACTCTTACCTCATTTTGAAATCAATCCTAAGGCAAAACAGTCAACAAAATACCAAAATGGCAAACCAAAAGGAATTGACCTATGAACATATTTTCGGAATTGCAACCACGGCGTTGCATATTAGCGGGGCTCATCCCAGCGTACGGAGAGATTTGAAATGGGCCCTCAAATTTATAATACTCCATGGAATATTTACTTTAGGCTTTTTTACATCCATGTACAGCGTATTCTACCACGATTTAAAAGAAAAAAACTTCATTTTATTATGCAAAAATTGTGTAACTTTCGTTCTTTATTGTGTTGTTACGTTCCAGTACTGCATGTTACTGTTTCACCAGGATACGGTGGTGGAATTGATTAAAAACGTTAATTCGGACTATAAGGAGTTACCGAATCTGTCCGTAATTGAAAAGGAATTGATGTATAAATACGTCAAGCAAGGCGTAAGGGTTTGCAGGCAATGGTTCGTCCTGACCGTTGCAGGAACTCTATCATTCATTTTGAAAAGCGGAGGACTAATGTTGTATTACTATTTCATTAACGATTTCCGATATGTTTCTCTTTACGATGTCAAGTTTCCAGCATGCATCGAAGAAAGAAGGAACGATCATTTTTTCGTGTTTCTTGCCACGTATTTCTTTTTAATGTTTTTTGCTTGTTACTCCGCGTTGAACTACGTGGCTTATGTGCCACTGGGGCCGATATTTATGCTACACGCCTGCGGTCAAATTGAGCTAGTTAGAAATCGAGTTGAAGTCCTCTTTTCGGGTTCCGATGTTGAAGAGATTCGAATGAAATTGAAGGATATTATTAAGAAGCTCCAGTATATTTACAGGTATAACATTTTCTATTTTTATTTATTGAGGATATTTTGATATCAAAGATTCCAAAGCCGTTTCTTTCATTTATACCCTTAAATGCATTTTTGAACGTCAAACAAAGCTTTCATTGTCAGCCTGTCGGTCAGTACTCTTAGTGAAGCTATTTAGCTCGTTCCAAATTGTAGATTCCGATGGAGAAGAACGAGCAAGAAACTCCATGGTTACTCTTTTTCAATCAGTTTCTAATTTTATGTTACATTATTAAGTTAGTTTGATTGTTTGACAATAGTGTTACACTAATATTTATTCAAAGCAACAGAAAAAAGCTTATATTTTGTAGGCATTTTCTGTATTCATATTTTTTGCGAAATAATATCATCGATTTTAAAGAGCCTTGTAGTTATGTTCTTTCTTTATTTACACGTGTGTTTTCCGTCGATATTTCTGCTTACTAATGTTATAAATGCGAATGTTACGATGTTTGGATGTTTGTTTCTCAATCACGCCAAAACGGCTGGACGGATCCGAATGAAATTTGGCACAGGCATAGGATACACTCCGGAATAGGACATCGGCTACTTTTTTTCAACATGTTACGCGGGTGAAGCCGCGGGCGGAAGCAAGTAATAACATATTATGGACTGAACGTCTCGATTACGACGTTAATAATATAATTTTTAATACATATTTCAAAGTATTCATAAAACTTTAACCATACAAATATAAAACAGTCATAAATGTCGTGTTAAATTAGTTATGTGTGGTTTGTTGATTTTATGTTCAAGGAGTTTGGAAGCATTTTTAATAATATGATTTTCGTAATCATCATCCGAAATACGTCCACTGGTGAAGAAAGACCGTCTACTTCAGAGTCCATTCATACAGCCGAGGTTCAAGCGCAAATTAAGACACCGTGACCTCGGCCAAGAGCAGAAGGAGTGGGGGGTGGTTTTTAGTCAATAATAGTCTAGCACTTCCACCCTGGGCGAGAGAGTCATTTGATTTTCTCCTCACATAAAAGTGTCCATTCACAATGTGCGAGGTTGCGGGGTAAGCGCAATAAGGTACCATGGCCTCGGCCTAGAGCTGGAGAAGGAACAGGGGAGAGAGGAGTACTAGTCAGTAAGAATCTAGAACTTCCAAGTGTGGGAGAACCATGCTTCGGCACGAATGGGTCGGCTCGACTGGAGTGATACCACGGCCTAACAGAAAACCGGCGTGAGACAACGTTGTGTTTCGCCGTGTGAGTGATTTTACCGGAGGCCCAATCCTTCCCCTCTCCCAAACCCTCCTCAATCCCTGAGTCTCCAAATCCCTTATCCCTAAAAGATCGGCAACGCACTCGTCTCTCTTCCGTTGCGGGTGTCCATGGGTGGCGCTGATTGCTTACCATCAGGTAATCCGTCTGCTCGTTTGCGTCTGCCGAATTATTACATAAAAAAAAAACTTCCTCTGACTTCACCCTGGGGAGAGAGGTCATTTGATGACTTTACCCTCACAAAAAAGGGCCCATTCACACTGCGATGGTATGGGGTCAATGAATTCGCGCTGTGCACCCCATTTCTTACACATAACACCTAATGTAACATTATGGAATGCAATAAACATTTCAATTTGAATTCTTCTCCTGCTCTAGGCCGAAGTCGTGGTACCTTATTGTGCTTACCCCGCAACCCCGGCTAAACATTGGCCATGTTGAGCTCCATCGGTGGTGGTCTTTTTTTTTTGGTAACGGGGGAAACCTTCAAAAGGCGCCTAACTTTTGGGGAAAAAGACTAGGGAGTGTGGGATTTTTACCTCACTAAAACCTCCCCGGTGGTCACCATCAACACCTTTAAGGGACACCGGGACCTCTTGATAGACCAACTCCAGAGCCCCTTTGGTGCAACGCCTGTTATGGCATATCTCTATCGAGAGTTACATGACCTCTTTAACCCTCATTATGCACGGCAGCACGCCCTGAAGTCGCTGGGGGGCGCCTAGATTCCCCACTCTGTGCGCCCGTGCGCCGAGGCTGCTATCTGTGGTGGTCTATTGGATCTTTAAGGCGCACGCGGAACGCTACGCGACGCACGCCCGGGTCTGGCTCTGGTAGGGCAGCGAGATACCCTGGCTCGCTGACCTCAGAGGCCTTTCATTTTATTTCAGCACTGTTGATGATATGAAGAGGGTTTTCAAGTTTGGCTACGAAATTACTCTGAAAGGTACAGCTGTACTTCTGCCTATCACCTTTTATGCAGTACTTGAGGTAAATATCCTACAGAATTACATAATTTTCTTATGTTTCATTTACATTTTTTTAAATCGTTGCCTCACTGTCCTTTATTCTCTGATGTCGTAGGTGCGTTTAAAAAAATACAATTTCATAAATATTTTACATATCGACCTGGGACAACAATTTCACATAAAGTTGTTCCGTGCGGGAACGCGCGACACGTTGCACGGCAGCTAGTTGCCCACTGTAACTGATAAAAATATTTTCAGACTGCCAAAAACGGAGAAGTCTCCTTGGAGTTCATAACGTTTATTATAGGGGGGATAATGATAAGTGCAGCCCCGTGTTACTACAGCGATTTGCTTATGGAAAAGGTAAGAAAACGCAATATGGTATGACTTCACAACATCTGGTGTCAAAAGCGCAGCGTTCTTTGGCGGGGTATGTCATAAGAGGGCAAACGAGCAACATGGAATCCCTGATGATAAGCAACCCGCGCCGCTCATGGACACCCGCAACAGTGCTTTAGTTACGAGTGCGTTGCCGACCTTTTGGGGATTAGGGTTTGGGAGATTGGGTTGGGATTAGGGACAGGAAGGTTTGGGTATTTTATAAGAAAATAAAAAATGAGCAAAAAAATGGGTTTTCTCAATCGGAAAGAAATTGCTTCATATTATAATAAATATATCTAAAGCTAAACAGGATTCATTAATTTTACGATCTTTTTTTATATGATTTTTGACGGATTTCCTGATGGTAAGCAATCGGAGCCGCCCGTGTACAGCCGCAACTCCAGGAGAATTACGAGTGCGAGAGCCTTTTGGAGATAAGATTTTTTCTGATTTTGAATTAGGAAGGAATGAAGGGAGGGGAACGATTGGGCCTCCGGTAACCTCATTCATATGGCGAAACAGAACGCTGTGGTTCTTTCACGCCGGTATTCTGTGAGGCGGTGGTATCACTCCGGTCGAGCCGACCCATTTGTGTCGAAGCATTGCTCTCCACACACTTAATAATTCAGCCTATTGCCGACCCACAAGTGACCTATTCATTAAGGCCTTGAAATTTAGTTTTTTTTTATGTAATTGGTCGGCAAACGAGCAGACGGATTACCTGATGGTAAGCTATCAGCGCCGCCCATGGACACCCGCAACGGAGGAGTTACGAGTGCGTCGGTCAAGGACGACCTTCCCTATTTATGGCCATTTGTCGATTTCAAACGTAGCCGGATTTGAGTCACTTTTAATTTGTGTCTCTCTTATACAGGGTGAAGCTTTACGCTTGACCTTATATACATGTGGTTGGGAGATGCAGTACGATCGGCGCACGCGCACCACGCTTCAGCTGATGCTGCAAAAGGCGCTCAGACCAGTTGCTATACAAACTATATTCAGGACCTTATGCTTGGACGCCCTAACTGATGTAAGTAAATAATTTTATACCTAAACGAATCCACGAATGAATGTCGTATTCATTCGTGGATTCGTTATATATAACTAACTATATATATGATAACTTATTTTTTTAACCTTAACCCACACTTTGGTCTAATTTTGTGTCTCGAATGTGTTTACATAACATGTAACTTAACAGACTCGGAACTCAGATTTGTGGATCACAAATAATTGTTCCGGGTTACTTGCGAGAAACTCACTCTCGACACTTTACGATTGCGTTGCCGACCTTTTGGCGATTTAGGGATTAGGGGAAGGGAGGGTTGCGCCTCCGGATCCTCATTCACAAGGCGAAAACTAACGCTCTGGTTAATTCATGCCGGTTTACTGTAAGGCCGTGGTATGACTCCGGTCGAGCCGACCCATTCGTGCCGAAGCTTGGATCTCGCCAACACTTTAACTAATTGAATTTTTATTTTTCAGTTGTATCAACAATCATACGCCATCTTTAATCTGATGAACGCCGCGTGGAATTAAAGGATTTAGTAGCTGTTCGCACGTATGACAAATGATAACTTCTTCTTAATATTTTGACTACATTTAAAACAGATTCCGAACTGTTTTAATTATTGCATCTACCTAAAGATAATTCACACTTTTCGCTTTTATTTTTCATTTGTTGTAAATTCTCTTTGTGATTTAAGCTTTATTTTTGTAGGCTTAATATTTTTTAAATTTATTGAAAATATAGTTAAAAAATTACTTAGTTACTCAAGTGAATTATTTGATTAAAGCTGTTTTGAAATTTTGTTTTTTTAAGTAGATTGACTTTTTTAAGCAGCATGTGCGTCGCGGCTGTCTTTCGGCTGCATGAGGCGGCTGTGCGACATCGCCTCGACGCTGCTCATGAATAAGAGTCCCCATGTGACTTGAAACTAGTCGAGCCTTTCTCAGTTAATTCAGGTGAAGTTGTTATTGTCAATAAATTACGTATATCTCACGATTCACGATAGTTACTATTCAAATAATATTTTTAATTATTAAAGTACATATTTCATTATATTGTTAAGTACCTACCTACCATTGTCTGCTTCGAATAATATATATTTTTGAAATAAAAACATTTCTGCTAAACGTGTTATTTATTAACTTTAAACCCAAACAAGGCCATCCCAAATAAATATTACAGTACCCAAGTACATGCCTAGGTTGGGCCTGATATTCACTTTGGAAACCAAAATATGTATTTTATTTTTATTCAAATATGAAAAGGCATTGCTGAGGCACGAATAAGCCAGCTCAAAGGGGGTTTACAGCTTTACAGAAAAGCGGCGTAATACACGGCTTGCGTTTTGTCGTATGAGGCTACCAGTACTTTCACCTTCTCCAAAATCTAATCCAAAGCCAGACAGCCACTTGTAATTGCTCTGGTTTTGTCCATGGGCAGTGCCAATCTTTTATCACCAGATGATCCCACAGACCGTTTGCCGCATTATAGTCTTGATGATTTTCCAAATTCTAATTCACTTTTTTTTTGTTAGGGGAAAATCATTAAATAACTTCTCCCGCCCAGGGTGGGACGGGAGGGAGTGTCAGACTCTTACTGACTAAAAACCCCCTGTCCCTTCTCATGCTCTGGGCCGAGGTTGCGGTGCCTCATTGCGCTTACCTCGCAACGCCGGCTGAACAAATTCTAATTCCCTAAGCATTGTCAATGGGCGGCGTCAATAGCTTGCCATCAGATCATCTATCATGCGTCAGATAGCTTATCTATCCCATCACATAATAAAAAACATTAATAGGTAGTTTTTAAATGAACTTAGGAATTAAATAATATCACAAGACAACGAGAAACTGGACAAGAAATGCAATTAAGTGTATTACCTATTACAAAATTAAATAATTATCATTCAAGAAAATTATAACAATTTTCTTGAATGCTAATTAAACGATTAATATACCTATAGGTAGACTATCTAATTACTTGCATAAATAATAAATAAAATTCAGTCTGTAAAGTATTAAGGCAAAGCTTAAAGGAGACGGAACCCTTTTTTTTACTGAAAAGAAAATAGACAACCTTTTGTACTAAGCGTAAGCGCATAAATTCAGTAATCCAAACTCATATTATAAATGCGAAAGTAACTGTGTCTGTCTTTCTGTCTTTTCTACACGCCTAAACTACTGATCCGATTTCTGTGATATTCGGTACAGACATAGTTTAGAACTCCAGACCTTTCAGGACATAGGACAGTTTTTATACCAAAATTCTGCAGGAAGTCACTTTTTCACGCGAAAGAAGTCGCGAGCAAACGCAAGTAATAAATATTACCGTGGTATACTCAACAACGCCTAGAACATTTTTTTTTTGTTTTTATTGCGGACCGGAGAAAGTTTGTACCTTCCTTTATTAAAAAAAAAAACCGTTGTCCCACACTATGATCTCCTCCTGTGTCGTGGGTGCGTTTACTAAACATCACACCCAGACTACCAACCAGACCCGTAACAGCAATTTGTGGATCACACAAAGAGTTATTCCGCGCGGGAATCGAACCCGCGACACGTTGCGCGGCAGCCGCGCCAACCGTGCAGTCAAACATCTGTGTGTATCTATCTATACTAATATTATCAAGAGGTAAAATTTAAATATTAAGTTTGTAAGTAGGGCACATAGTAATTAAATAATTCAATAATTTCCATGAAATAGTGGAGAAAATTTGTAAGTATCAGCATTGCAAACGTGGGAAAACGGGGCAAGTCGCTACTTAAAAATAAAACCCATTTCAACAAAATGTATCAAACGGCACTTTTTCACGATAGGCAGTTTATCTTAGTCAGTTTCGTAATACAACGTGTGAAAACAAACATACAGTAAATCCTATTGGAACGTAAGGAATGCGATTCGAACGTTACAATTCGGTACATTCTTAAAATTATTACGACGCACTCAAAAATAGTTGCTGAGTAAAATTACGTAATGAAGCTAATTTCGCTCTCAATAGACATAACATATTACTCTATTATCTATAGCTATTACTCTAAGGGATGTCGTGGTGGCCCAGAGGTTAAGGCGCCCGTTTCTCGAGTATGAGGGTGTGAGTTCCAAACCTGGCAAGTACCAATGTGATCTTTTCCGAGTTATAAGTACTGCTCTATGATTATTTAGACACCACTGACATACGGTGAAAAGGAAACATCGTGAGACAATCCGCCTTGAGGAAGCGTAATGATTAATGCTCAAACTTTACCCGTGTGAAGAGAGGCCTCTGCTCAGCAGTGGGCACTTATAGGCTGATGATAAGCGACCAACTATGGAGCCTATCAACAAGCGATTCATTCGGGCCCTAGACACCCAGATTCTTCGGAGTTCTTATGACCAACTGGAGACAATCTCTTCGTGTCACCATGAAGCGGAGACGTTTTGAAGATTGTCTGGTGGTACGCATACGACACCGCGCCTGGACACCCACAACATCAGAGAAGTTGTAAGAATTAAGAATTATGAGTTTAAAGTTAAGAAAATTTGGAGAAGGATTGAGAGTCTGGGAAACTCACTCTCCGCCGGCCATTGCATCGCAAGGCATGGCAAAACATGGCTCTAACACTTCATATAAATGATATTCTTAATTGGATTGCAACATGAAGAGTATTCTACTTAATAACCCCCTCATCAATAATTGCCGAAGCCATATAAAAATGATAAATTATCCTTAACAAGAACTAGACCTCGATCATACTTACAACAAGATACTAGTCAATATGGATGACAAATTCGAAAAGGACTTAAAACTATTCCTAATACCCATGAGACTGACATCAACTAGCCCTGAAATTCCTCTAACCATCAAACGATTTATTCGTCACTTATTTGGCTACATCATTTTCACTGCTGTAGCAATTGTTATCACCTACAATACCTACATAAGTATAACTAACCGCATATTTTTCGAAGCTTGCCGAAACCTAACCTTAAGTCTCACGTATTTCGGTTGCTGTTTGAATACCATGCTCTCATTCTGGAATAGACGTTCATTGAAAACGCTGTTGGAAACCATAAGGAATGATTACAAGATGGCCGCCCAGTTACCGCCACAAGAACAGCTGATCTTCGAAGATTACAGTCGAAAAAAAAGTTTGATTTGCAAGATATGGTTTCATCTTTTCGTCGTTTCTTTGTGTTTGTTCGTTTTAAAAGCTTTTACTTTGATGGTTTATTATTATTTTATTGGCGAATTTAGATTGGTGCATTTATACGAACTGACTTACCCGGACTACATCGAGAAGAGGAAGGGAGATTTGGTGATGTATTTGTTCATTTTCCTCATGGTTTTTTTATATGGTGTCATTTCTGGTCTTGGGTTCTTAAGCTTTGTGCCCTATGGGACGGTTTGCATGCTTCACGCTTGTGGTCATTTGGAAATAGCTAAAAACAGGATCGATTCCTTATTCACCGGTGATTCAAGATATGTGAATGAGAAGTTGAAGAATATCGCCCAGCTACTTCAGTACACATACCAGTATGTATACAATATTATGTATTTATATCAATACTTCATAAAGTTTGTAGAGTTCTCTGCCAATCTTAGTACGATCAAAATAATACCGGTGACATCCTTAAATCATGATTTTCTAACTATTTTATTACATGGAAAACACCACTTAAATAGAAAATAAACAAAAAAAATCGGATTTAGGAGATTTAAACATTAGGGAGGGGAAAGGAATAGGTGTCTGGTAACCTCACCCACACCGCGAAACACAACGCTGTGATTGTTGCCCCACGGTTTTTCTGTGAGGCCGTGGTGTCGGTCCGGTCGATCCGGACCATACGTACTAAAGGATGGCTCTTCTTCACTTCAGCACGAATTCTAAGATTCTACTTGTTCGAGCTTCAAATAATAGGTCTTTACCTATGAAATTGCCGTTCTGCAGTACTGGCCATTTCAAACCAAAATAGTTTTTATTAGGCTAAGGCTAATTAATTTTGTTTTAAAAACATGGGATTGTTTTTCCAAAAGTAGTCATTTGTTTATTGATTAGTGTTACATTTTCATCGCATTTCAAATCAAAAAATTCGTTTAATTTTTTTTCATGCAAAACGGCCATTTCATAGGTAAAGACCTATTAACTCATTTGTTTTTTATTACAGTTTTATAGAATACAGTAATGGATGTCTCCGATTCTTTTACGATGCTATTCTGAAACTGTCTGCGATTGCCATTCCGGTTACGTTTTATGCTTTGTTAGAGGTAAGTATGGACAATTAATGAAGTCACATCATTAATTTCAATATTTAAGACAAAAAGTATACCTATTTTAAACCCCAACAAAACAATTATAACACATAAAAAATGTCTGACTAGTCAATGGTGTCTAAATAATCATAAAAAGTACATATAACTCGAAAAAAGTTACATTGGTACGTGCCAGGTTTCGCCTTAACCTCCGGGCCCTCTCAAAGTCAGTTACTTAACAAGGGTAATTAAATAAAATCGTTACTAAAGATTGGTTTAAGTATAGTTTAACTATTACTTTTAAATATTTCAGGGGCTTCGACATGGGGTTTTTAGTATGGAGTTCACAATGTTTATTTTGAATGCCATTATGCTGACCAGTATACCTTGCTACTTAAGCGATAAATTATTGGAAAAGGTAAGCTTTTAAATGTTAATTATGTAATTGACACGAAAGAATCTGAAATGGATTGATTGCACACGGTTCGTGTGGGTTCGATTCCCGCACGGAGCAATTCTTTGTGTGATCCATAAATTGTTGTTCTGGGTCTGGGTGATGATGATATGTAGGCGAAAATCTTATATACTAAATTATAATTATTAATAAATAATTATTATATGTATATTGCCGTACCTATTACTGGAAAAAGCTATAGCAGCTCACACATAGGTCCCATTACAAATACTTGCAATACAAAATTTTCTGTGGTATATGGTGACTGGGCTTCTCCCAGTTGTACAGTCTCTTCTGTGCCTTTAAGGCCTAACACATTCTGTGAAGTGGAAACTATTTCTTTTGTTCTTCTCCTCAAATAATCTTCTGATTTCTTTCGTTGCGGGATCCAAAACAGTCATTCATGTCTTTGGGACGCTCCGAACTTCAGTGTTCCGTGTTTTCATGGCTGTATCTACTGTAGATCCTGGCTTACAGGAGTTGCAGCGGTTTTAGGAGATTGCGGCGGGCTTGCCCATTAAAAAAAAATATAATTTGTCTCCCAGGGTGAAGAAGTGAGACTAGCGCTGTACTCCTGTGGGTGGGAGTGTGAGTACAACCGGCGCATGCGCGTTACTATCCTGCTCCTACAGACGCGCTGCTCCCGACCTATAGCCGTGCAGACAATGTTCACTACGCTCTGCCTTTACGCTGTTACTGATGTAAGTCTTTTTTATATGAATGGACAGCAAACGAGCAGACGGATTACCTGATGGTAAGCAATCAGCGCCACCCATGGACACCCATATGGCATGACATGGCAACATAGGAGGAGTTATGTGTTAGTGCGTATCCGACCTTTTTGGGGATTAGGGATTGGAGATTTTGGGATTAGGGAAGGATTGGGGGAAGGGAAGAATTGGGACTCTGGTAACCTCACTCACACAGCGAAACACAACGCTGTTGTTTCACGCCGGTTTCCTGTGAGGCCGTGGTATCACTCCGATCGAGCCGACCAATTCGGGTCGAAATAGTCTTTATGCGATTTTCATGACATTTGTTTTTTCTATAAAATCATAGACAGTGTTTATCGGATAGAACGACAATGTAGAAAAGTTGGCCTTCACAAAATAACGGGTGTCCAAGGGTACCGCAGATTGCCTGCATTCAGGTGATCTGCTGGCTTATATAAAAAAAAAAAAAACAAAAAATCAAAAACGTTTATTTCGTTATTACACTATAGAAAAAATTGTACAGTTATAGATATTACAAGTTATAGATACCCATTCAACTACCCAAGAAGCTTAATTCAAAATCTGAATAAGCTATCAATAATTACTACATAGTAAAAACAAAGTCGCCTTGTCTGTCCTTATACCTATCACTGTGTATGCTACGTGGTAGGGCAGCCGTGGTAGCCCGAAGGTTAAGGCGCCCGCTTCTCATGCATGAGAGTGTGGGTTGAAACCTGGCAAGTACCAATGTGACTTTTTCCGAGTGGCCCCACTGACATAGGTGAAGGAAAACATCGTGATCAAACATGGACTTATAATTTCTAATTGTAAGATTGAAATCGCCAACCCGCCTTGAGCAAGCATGGCGATTAATGTCTTAAACCTTCTCCGTGTGAGAAGAGGTCTTTGCTCAGCAGTGGGCACTTTTAGGTTGATAATGATGTGTAGGTATGCTTAAATATGTAAAACTACACAACGGATTTTGATGCGGTTTTTTTATTAGGTAGACTGATTGAAGATTTAAGACATTTACTATCAGCATTTTACCCTTGCGAGGTTGGGGTGGATCGGTAATATTCATAATATTTTAACTATAAAAGTTTTATTTTCTTTTTCAGATGTTTCAGCAGGCCTACACCATTCTAAACCTTATGAATGCTGTATGGAACTAACCAAGGAGTAAAAAAGCAATTCTGATTTATTATTGTAGCTATATATGTAAATCAAAGCTTATTTACTTTAATAATTGGGTTTAATTTTCCGTACCTAATATTGTAACTAATAAAGAATATTAGAACTGAGAAATTTGAATGGTAATTTAACATTTTACAGTACCTATATCTCTTTCTCTGTCTCTTTATCTCTCTCTCTCTCTCTCTCTCTCTCTCTCTCTCTCAGCAGAAACTGTTATCATTTGGTATAATACAAAATCTACGAAACCCTTATCATCGGCAACGCACTTGTAACTCCTCTTCTATTACGGATATTCACAGGCGGCACCGACAGCTTACCATCGGGTTATCCGATAGCTCGTTAGCCGACTTATTTCATAAAAAAAAAACAAATTTACAAGACAGCAGCAACTATCCATAATTTCCACAATTTAGGTAGAAAATACACTGCAACACGGAAAAATTATACGCGATAATATTCATAACCTTAATAAAACAAATAAAGTCATTATATTTATCTAAATGATACATAAACGCATCGTAAATCATTTAAATTGTGACATTGAATTAAATTTATTTTACACTTACATCCCTAATTATCAACGATGTAGTTTTACTATCGAAAATATTACAAGAAAAATGTCTGAATGCAGTTATAAAACAAGAGGAAATAATAAAATGTAATAATAATTAATGTTGTAATTTGCCATTTATTATGATTTTATGATTTATAATTCTCACTAGCGTCTTTAAGCGGCTGTAGATGCAGTTCCAGAAAAAATCAAACTATAATCTGCTTCTACGTATCCTAAGAGAAATGATAGGCCACGGTGACCGTTCGCGCCCGACTTTAGTCAAGGCCATGCTGCGGGACGAGAGAACCAGTTAACCCGTCTCCTCTCTCTGCAACGCGGACACGCTCCCAAAGAAGGAGAGTCAGACTCTTACTGACCAACCCCCACCCCTCTTCTTCTCCTGCTCGCCCGACGCCCGCTTCTCAAGCATGAGGGTGTGGATTCGGAACCTGGCAAGCCTGTGTCACTTTTTCCGAGTTATACGTACTTTCTATGATTATTTAGACACCACCGACATGCGGTGAAGGAAACATCCTGAGGAAACCTGAACTTATAATTTCGAATTATAAGTTCAAAATACTCAAACCTTCTCTGTGTGAGAAGAGGCCTTTGCTCAGCAGTGGGCACATATAGGCTGATGATGATGATTACCGATCCACTTAATATAAGCAACCACCCGATCAAATTTCAACTCGATCCATTTCACACACAAGTTTCCATGAATCCATTCACTAACCGTCAGTATAACATCAAAATTTTCGATCATTTGGCACCGACCCAAATCTCGTCGTGTTGTGTCTATTATTTTCCAATGATTCAGCGAAAAAACACGCGAACCCAAACCGGATGACAGAATGAATGTCGTGTTGTCCAATCAAATTAATGTGATTTCATATCGATTACAGTTTTTTCGTTTTGAATACTTAAATATTTTTCGTCTGGTTCATCGGTTGAGTCATAAGAACTAGAACAGAATTGAGTTCAGTAGGTACACGGATAAAGAAAAGAAATTTCGATTACTTTTGTCGATAGTTCTGATGGTAAGCAATCTGCGAAAGAGGAGTGAGTTTATTATAAACGCGACAGCTTATGTAAATACCTATTCATGGATAGAAGTTTGTTACTCTTATTCATAAAAACAAACTACTTTTTGAAGTGATAGGGCGGCAAACGAACAGGTGAATTACCTGATGGTAAGCAATGAGCGCCGCCCATGGACACGCGCAACAACAGAGGAGTTAGGTACCAGTACCAGCGTTGCCAACATTTTGGGAATTGGGATTTGAAGATTTTGGGATGAGGTATTTGGAGCTTTTCGGATTTTGTAATTTTGGTGAGAGCCATGACATGTATTGACACGAATGGACCGACTCGACCAGAATAATAACATCACCTCATAGAAAACCGGCGTGAGGAAACCTCAACGTTATGTTTCACCGTGTGAGAGATGTTACTAAAGGTCCAATTCTCCCCCTCCCAAATCCCTAAATCCGCAAAACCAGTAATACGGCATTGCTTTTGGGGATTAAGGTTTTGAGGTTTAAGACTTTTTGAGGAGATAGGGGGAGGGGAACAATTGCGCCTCCTATAACCTTACTCATCCTCGGTGTAGCCGACCCATTCGTGCCGAAGTTTGGCTCTCCTAAGTACCCTTTGACTTGACACAATGTATGTATTTATTGTTTTTAGTAAAACAGACAATTTTAGAGGGAGATAGTCTCGATTGAGATTTAGAAGTTAAATAAAAACTAGCGTTTGAATAAGGTTACCGGAGGCCCACTGCTGTCTAGAGAGACCCTGCGGAGTCTACTCCGCAAAGACCCTCCGAAGTCTACTCCGCACGGTTTCTATTAGTCTAGTAGTAGTATTTCTATTGAGGATAACAGCTTAAAATGTAATAATTGTATGGGTAAAATCATTAAAACTACTGTAATTTGTTACAGAAAAGAATAAGAAAAAAAAACAAGAAACATACAGTCTCGTACATAAAATATGATCATATTACTCTCAACGCAATTTTTTTATATACATGAGTCATATAGATAATTTTGTTGCCACAAAAAAAACTGAATGACTCAATTCTGTTTATAAATCATTCAGTCTTTGGCAAAGTGACTGACCTGAGTGAGACTGGAAATCAGTATTTCACAGCTTACAGTTACAAGACTATTTATAAGTTAACTAATGTATTAGTTGATATCAATGATATTAAAAGTAAAATGGTGTAGATAGGTTACGTAAACAGCCCGAGCGTACGGCGCGTAGCGTTCCACGCGCGCCTCATAGAGCCATTAGACCACCACAGACGGGGCCCTATAGGGCTGATGTTCAGCCGGGGTTGCCGGGTAAGCGCAATGAGGCACCGCGACTTCGGCCCAGAGCATGAGAAGGAACAGGAGTTTTTAGTCAGTAAGAGTGTGACACTCCCTCCCGCCCGGCCCTGGGCGGAAGAAGTCATTTGATGATTTTCCCCTCACAAAAAAAAAAGATAAGTAAACAACATTCGACTTTCAAAAACGATACACTGGTACATACATGGACAATTCGTATGATTAGACGTCAAAGTGGGATGGCACGATTCAATAATCGCAAGTGAAAAAGAGACAAATATGAAAAAGTGTGGCTAGTTAGCCACATTTTAATGTATCACTTGCTGAGCGCTTATGACCTATCTACACCTTTTTCGGTGAATTCACGTGAGTAAGTAGTTATTTACATTAAATTTAGTATGTTCTCACGATACTTAAGTTACTATACTCAAAAATAATCCTCTAGCAATTCGGGTATACTACGGCGTAACAACTGTGATATCATCATCAGCCCACTAAGCAGTGAGCTAATGAGGGAGAGAGAAAGAGAGAGTAAAAAGAGGTCAATGGTAAGCAGCAAAGACCTTTTCTCACTAGAAGAAAGCTTGAGCAGTAATCACCAGGCTTTTTCCAGGCGATTTAGCGATTTTAAGCGTTTTATTTTTCTCCTGCTTCGGGCTGAAGCCGCTGTACATTTTTGCTCTTACACCCACAACCCCAGTTGAATATCGGTCCTATCCTGCGGTGGTATAATAGCTCTTTGATGAGTAGGTTGGTCAGAGATCGTTACGCGATTTTCGTAGGCGTGCGAAGAATACGCGTCTCACGTGCTTCACTTCCTTGTTTCCAAGCATTAGTGCTTTGCAGAAAGATGACACGGCTTCTTAGTTTGTCTCGCTTCACACCACGACCTCAACTAAGACGGGGCGCGAGAAGTCGCCACCGCCGATTACGTCCCTGAGGAAACAGCAGTTCTCCGCCTAATCAGGGCGTCCTTATTTTGTCCTTTGAATTTAAATATCGCATAAAGAAATATTTTAGAAAAACAAAGATAAACCCCAACAATACAATCACCGAACTGGAGAATCCAATGCCGGAGAGCTGATTGAGACAGGCGGGTAGGACGAGAAAAATAAATAACAGAACGAAATTTTATTTCAAAACTAGCGAGTTTATACAAAACGAGTTTGATGAAAGAAAAGCATAAGAAAAAAAATATTTTATTGAAAAAAGAAAATAATCTGTCATCGAATATTTTTCAAATGTCCAGATCTTGACAAGTCACATATACTAATTGAGATTTCAACTACAAATTACAAGTCAGAAATAACGTAGGTGAAAGATTCTATAACAGGGTGATGACATATAAAATCTTACAAACTAGACTGATTGATATTGGGTAATTTGCAATGAGAATCAGTTATTTAAAACTGTACATTATCAAAAACATTGGAGCTCGAACAAATGACGGCCGATGTGGGCGAAACATTCCCGAATTCGTTAGAATCGTTTTTCGCCAAGAACATCCACCCACAAGATGGACAGAAGACCTGTTTAAGGGCACAAGGAGCCACTGGATGCAAGACATTTGGAAGGGTCATGCTTGAGCACGAATGGATCTTGTCTAGAGTGATACAAAGGCGCGCAGCTTGCGTTGTACTTTACTTTGCCGTGAATTATTTATCGAAGACCCAATCTTTACCAATTGGAGATTAATGCAGAATAGCGATTAAGGTGTGACCCCCATTGACCTCCATTTCCATTACCCTAATCGCCAATACTCATGACGCCAGCAAAGCATTTGTAACTTCTCTGGTGTTGTGAACAAAGACGGACGATCCGTCCAGTTACGGATACTTAATCCCAATAAATTTAAAATTTAAAAACCTCCGACAATCTAATATTCCTTTAAAAAGTAATAATTAAAAGAAAACGTGGCGTTTGCAGACCTTCTGTTACTTTTCCCCACTTACGCCCCATAACTTCTAAACGGCTCAACCGATTTTTGTCAAACATGCCTAAAAACACTCGCACGTAAGTCACCTTTAATACAAAAAAACTAAATTGAAATCGATTCACCCGTTCAGCCTGCAGGATGCCACAGGCAGACAGACAG